TCCCAAATTCACAGCCCCCAGGCTCCTCCTTTTTCCACAACTGACAAAGGCAGTAGCTCAACTTTCTGTTCCTCTCTCCCTAGTACAATACAGCAATTATTTGACTGCTCTGGACAATATAGCTATGGATACATAGGGCTGTGCGAAATGGCCCCGGTCCGTTCCACCTTGAGTTTTGACGGTTCAAGAGGACAGTGTTTCATCTCAAATTTCATTTTGAATCAAAACAGCTGTCCCATTCCATCGAAACAGAAAGGCTGTTTTGACACTGTTTCGAGTTTCACTGGGGATGGGAGGTCAGCCCAGCTGGGCTGCTTTCTGGTGTCCTGCGCTACATCGTGCCAGGGGCGGGCGACAGCCCAGCTGGGCTGCCTTCTACCCCCTGCCGGATCTTGCGCTGGGGCTGGGAAGCCAGCCCAGCTGGACTGACTTCCCATCCCCAGCCTATGGTCGAAATGTTTTGACTTCCAAAACATTTCGACCAGCCTTGTTTTGTTTCAAGGCTATTCCGACGGCCTTTGTTTCATTCTGATTTTGCTGTTTTGACCTTGAAATTGGTCAAAACAGTGTCAGAATGAAATGGCTGGTGAAATGTCACACAGCCCTAAGATCGTATATTTAACTTTGCAACGTTGCCCAACATTTACAACATTTCAATTACACAATTATGCCCAGTTTATAGACAGGAAACTGAGAGACTAAGTGATGTGACTGATGACATCCAGGAATTGTATGATACAGCAAGAACCAAACCTCAGGCCAGCAACCTAACCACCGAGAGCCACCACATTGGATCCATGCTTTACCCGAACAGCCAAAGAAGTCAGGAAACTTGTGACAGAGTCTTCATCTAGGTGACCAGTTTAAACCCAGTGCAGGCTGAATTTATCAGCTGTAGGCTAGACAGTGAATTGGCAGGTCTCATTTGAGATCCCAGAGGACTTGGGTTCATCTTGCCAACCACATCCCTTTTCACAATTAGCACTCATTTCTTTCCTTTCTGAGCAAAGGCCACATCCTGCACCCAAAGGTGTCAAAGGCAAAATTTCCATTGGTTGCAGCAGGGTCAAAATCAGATTCTAACCAAATGTAATGAATGCACTGCTCTTTTCACCTGCCCCACATCAAATTGGGCCATAAAGCAAGAGGGGTATGAAAGGTACCCGCTGGTTAAAGGTACTTGGAGTGTCAAGGGATAAAGTTTTCCAAAGCACCTTCCTGACTTTAGGGCCAAAGCTCTGTTTTCAGCAGTGACTGAACTCTGTGGATGCCAGGGCCATGGATTCCAAGCTGTTTAAACCAATGTTAAAAATGACACCTAAGGTACCATATCCAAAATTGCCTAAGTAACTTAAAAGCAGAACCCTCTGCCCTGAACGTCAGTGCTCCTCAGTCACTTTTGGTATGATGTATACATAAACCATTTCCCATAGGGCAAAAGGGGATGTTAGTTGTTCCATGTTAACTTCCCATCTTCATGCTCATAACCTGTGGTAACCGTCTGATAGCTGGACTGCTGTAAAATTACCTCTTTTTTCATTGAGAGCTAAACACCCACAATTTAGTCCACACCCAAGACGATGCCTGTGGGTAACTGGATTAGAATATCTGATACAAGGAAAAGCTTCTGAAGCTTTCTGAAAACCCCAACAAATCAGCACCAAACTACCCAAAGGATGCTGGACTGTACAATGTGTAAGGTCTTGTCATTTTTCCCAGGTATACATATTGCACATGGGCACATCGCATGTTAAGAAAAAAATTTATTTGGAAAAGCATCACTATTTATGATACATTGAATATAATACAGAAGTTTGTATACAACATGTTTGCATTTCACTTCAGGAAATAAGTGTTCATTCCACATATATGTATAACATATAACAAAGCATATTTTGTAAAAATATGTTTCCAGGCACCTGTTAGGCTCCCTGATACCGTTTCCTTTTGCCCATCTTGGCAGATGCATTGGTTACTGTGTATACAAATATAGATTCTTCTTTTTACCTACATATAAAACACTAAACTTGAACATGAAAAATATTTGAGTTATGCAATAGCATCTTTTTTTTTTCAATTTCGAGGCACATGAAAACAAAACAAAAGCTATTTACAATAAAATATATTGCAAAAAAGGGCGGCATTTTACAAATTTCCATACTCACGTGCATGTTGCGTTTCATAAGTATGCTTGTGAATATGCGTTAGGCACATAACATATACGATATGCATAAGATACATGCAAATACACCTAAGTGTACGTTAAACAAATATGCATTAAGGGCCTTATCCTGCAACTATTTACATCCACGTTTAACTTTAGGCCTGACTCATGGCAGTCACGTTGGCATATGGTGGCAAGGTCAAGATTTGGAGATAAATTATATATATCCAGGTGAATCCAGATATATCTAGATGGATTAAAAAAGCCAAATTATGTCAGGCATAATTAGCATACCCATACTGGCCATGAGATGGCTTTTCCTGTCTTTTGATCATGGCTGGGTACCAATCACAAAACTTCAGTTTTCAAACTGCTCAGAAAGACTTTCCAAGTAACTAGCATTTCTAACGCAAACCCCACTCTCCTTCCCCCCCAAACACTCTAGGACAGGGGTGGGCAAAATGCGGCCCGGGGGCCAGATGCGGCCCACCAAGCCATTCTATCCAGCCCATGGGGCCCCTAAAAAATTTAGAAAATTAATATTTATCTGCCCTGGCTGACTGTCATGTGGTCCTCGATGGCTTGCCGAAACTCAGTAAACAGCCCTCTGCCCAAAATAATTGCCCGCCCCTGCTCTAGGAGGTAGACAGATCCTAGGAGACCGACTCGCCCAAAATCAGTTTCTCAGTCACCATTAAAACTCAGGGCTTCCTGGCTCTTGATTTTAACTGGGAAATACTCATTGATTTTAAAACTCATTTAGGTCCTAGAAAATAAATGGGCTACGGCAGACATGCAACTTTGCTGCTATAAATACCCTTAGAAACCGATGTAGCATTTTTCTGCATAATCTGCTTCTCCGGAGGCAAAACTCTCATTGGATTTCAAGTGGAAGCCGGATCAGGCTGACCGAGCTCATTCGTTTTTTCCGAGTGTGGGCTTCCCTGGTACCATCCTCTGAAAGTGAAGGTTCAAATAAAGATTGACAGCCTGAGTCTGAACTGTGCGCGCCACATCCAGAGGGCCCTGAAACATCACTGCTGTGCTATCAAACCCGCCAATGCCCCCAAAAGAAACAAAAAACACACCGCGCTATTTTAATTATTCACAGATACACAACGGAGTTGCGTTCCCAAGAACGAGAACGAGAGCAGAAAGGCATCCTCCTGCAGAGCAGTGTTTGCTGAGGTCCCTTGGAGGAGAAGTGTTTGAAAGCACAAGTGCTACTGAACGTCCTTGCCCACCTACAGAGCTACAGGCAGGGTGAGGTGGCAGGGGACCCTTGCAGGCTTCACAGTTTTGTAAACCTCAAGGCACCTGTGAGATTTACAGCGCTCGCTGGAGTTTAGGAAGCTTCTTTCTTCCTTTCGAGACAGAGATTCAGTGTAGGGAACTTAGGGGCAGGTGAGCCCTCCACACCTAGGGTTGCTGGTCTGCAGGGCCTTGCATCTACACTCAACTGCAGCCTTGGTGTTTAAGTCAAGAAGGCAATCAATGAGGACCCAGCTCAGCAGTCATTCTTTGTGCTTCCAGTGGAAATTTTTCATCTCCTCATTCCCTTCCTTTTTTTTTTTTTTTAAAGTCTTTCTGCACTTGCTTTGCACTCTGTCTACTCCATCCTTCATCCTCGTCTCCCATTAGATTTCACCCCACTTTTGTGCCCTTTTCCAGGGCTCCCTTCTTAAGAAGGCTGCCTGCCCCAAAACACCACAGCCTATGTCCAGTTTTGGTTGATGTGGCCACATCCTGGCTGAGGAGATGCACGCTGCAGATGCCCATCCTAACAGGATGCTCACTGTGCTGCCTAGGAACATAAACAGGAAGCACAGAAAGGTGCGTCTTGGGCGTGCAGGGCTTACAGATGATGCAGCGATACAAACGCCAACCACTAAGGCCCGCTGTCAAGGCAGATGGTACTCACAAGTTGTCCCCTAAGCTGTAGTCTCCATTAGTAATGTTCCTAAGTATCTGAATTTGCTTTCTCTTATAGAAGTCAGTATAAAGACTCCTTCCACCATACATACACACACACAAAGAGATCTGGAGCTGACCTATAGTAGGATTAATAACTTATTCATAAATTACCTGTTGGCTCGGTCACTGCAATGTACACGAGAAGCATTTGTCAGGATGCAAGAGTGGGACAAGGTGTCAGATAACAACAGCCTCTCAACCAACACTTAGAGTTGTTACTTGCTATAAGCTGTTAGATGCCAGAACTAATAGCTTTACCGATTCTGTATCCCCAGCCAACCTACAAGACTGGTTTGGGCTGAGGCGAAGACCTGAGAACAATAAATCGAGCAGGATTTAAGGGGGACACTCCTTAACAGAGGGAAGAGTCAACAGGACAACCAGACTGGCACATGACTCGGGTGCATGAGCCTGGTGGGAGCAGCCAGAAAAACCAGGCCTGAGTAGGTTCCCAGCATAGCATGGTAGGACTCCAGGTAAGGTAGGCATGCACGTAGAAAGCTTTTGGTTTTGAAATTCTTCCTCTCTGAGGCCCTGCTCCTATATTCCTAAGTAAATAATACTTTTGATTAATGAATACTAGCTGTTTACAGACCCCCAAAGGGGTGCCACTGTCCAAATGCAGCTAGACCTGCTAGGTGAACTGGGCTGATGCACCCGGTGCTATAGGCGCAGGCCTGGTCTGATTGATGAAGAATCACGTGCTTCCAAACTAAACGTGCATGGCCTGACGCTTGAGGGTCACTCGAGTACACTCAGAGGTACAGCTCGTTTTTTAACCATCTCACACACTCAAGCACACTGGTATATACATGTCTCTGCAGAATAGTCCTTCGCACAGGGAGTATCTGTCACACTGCTGGGTTAATGTTGCTTGGCTCAGAAATGCAGTACGTGATAGTTTGATGGGGACTCAGTTTTTGATCAGGCTGGAATTGGAGTCAATTTGTTCCTCCTGGATAGGAATGCGACAGCTCCTTCCTTCTGAAAGACACAGTAAAGAAACATCGTACAAAGCAGAAAGGGAAAAGGAAGCTCAGGAGCTCTCTGTTTCATGAACGCAGGAGCAGACAGGAACCACCAAGAGAGAGCGATGTCCTGGCCAGCCAAGACTGGGGATCCCACCTCAGTTGCATAAGTGTGGGGAATAATGGGAACATCTTTTATTGTTGCTACCATCAGCCGGCCGACCCAGAGCCATGCTTCTGGCTAGGTGTGAATGCAGAGCCCACCCGGCAAACAATGCTGTCTAGTCACAGACTCCCATTCATTTGAGTGGGGGGAAGAAAGAAAAACTCCTAGCCAACTCATTTGTCCATAAACAGAAGCAACATTAAGAGGCATCTCAGAACAATGATTTCTATATAATACTATATAGATATAGATTCTCTCAACAGGTATATGAAACTACGCTCTCTTTTTCTTAATGGCCTACTATATAAGTCCAGTCCTCCTACTCAGTGAACTGAATTGAACTGCAGGTCAGTTGGGTTCATACGTGTGAAATACTTTCGTACACACAGAACCACACAGAAGAAAAGAGATAATGAAATAAAGATAAGGGGAGAAGGAAGTGAGAAGGAAGGATGATGGAAAGATAAAGGAAAGGAAGAGAACAAATGCAGGGGCTGGGCAGGGATATCTCAGTACCCATCCTCTGGGGCTTAATCAAATGTTTCCAAAAGATTAGCATCAATGACATTTGTCTGACCCCTCTTTGCTGGGATGCTACTCTTTAGCTACCCAGGCAGCCAGGTTACCATGTTTAGCTTCTGCCTCTAGAGTTAATGTGCTCTTTCATCTAAGCAACACGTATCGGCTATCCCGCAATACGAGGATGATGTCTGCCGGGAGGCAAAGGGGAGAGCAACAGACTACATGACTATTAACAGTGCTCTAGGGAACCACGCTTTCCCTGAGCTGGAGCATTTCCTCGTTGTTGGGATACATTCCCAAACGCAACTCTGACAAGTGATGTTTGAGGATATAACTATTACCAGGAGACTCCCCCCAGTCCCACCGACTTCTCCCCAAGCAATTGTGTCCTGGGACATCCCAGCCAAGGTTGGTTTGGGTGACCCCAAGCCTCGTTTGGCAAAACGCCTGTGAATGAAACATGTCCTGCCAAATCGGCCTGACTCCTAAATCAACAGGAGTTTTAATGGATTCGGGCACATGCATAAATGTTTGGTCCATGGCCAAGTGCATGTCATCTAAATTAGGAAGAGTCGACAACATGAAACTTGTTAAATTTGTTTGAGTCAACCTCCCTTCGCATCAAGAGCAACTCTAAAATCTCTGGCACTCCCAAGCATCTGGGTCTACTAGGTCCACCAACAGGGGTTTAAGTTTCAGGTAAAACCAAGCCACTAAACCAGATAGATCATGTTATGATCAAAGTGCTTGGCATGGTAGAAATTGATGCTCTAAGATTGACAGAGCAACCCAGATTTTCCCCTGAATTAGGGGTGCTCAACCCCTGGCCCACAGGCCAAAACTGGCCTGTGACACCATGTTGTCTGCCCCATGGGGATCCTCATGGGTCCAGTAATCTGGTGGCAGGGAAGTGGTGTACCAATCCCCTGCTGCCAAATTTCAGGACCCAGGGGGATTCCCAGACCCTGTGTGTTGGATCCCAGCATGCAGGGCTGGACAAAGGTGGTACCAGGCCTCTGGGGACCAATCCGGGTATACAGGGGCTGAGAGGGGGCAGCACTGGGCCACTCATCTGGCCTGTGGGACCAAAAGGTTGAGCACCACTACCTTTAACCATCAAGTCTTTCAACATCAAGGGAGCAAAGAAGCTATCTTCAAAGAGAGACTCACTCCGCTGATCATTCTCAGCAGGCTGCAGCTTCTTCTTCCTCCCCTTTCCAGTTGCCTGAATAATCAGTAGGAGAATAGACATTCCTGATACCATGAGCAATGTCAAGCAAATAAGGATGAGCGATAAAGGCCCTAGAAGAAAAATAAAAGACCATTACTCACCCCATACACAGATGCACACACACAGATGCACACTATATGCTCCTGGCTCTGCAACAGGGGGTCTAGGAGACCCAGTAGCCCTGGCCTAGAAAACTCTCCAGGCTCCCTGCAGCAGAGCCAGAACTAAGGCCTTACTAGAGACAGAGAAATGACATGATCCACACTCTTGGCTCCATGACAGGAAATATGGAAACTTGGTGGTGGGGAAGTGGGGGCCCGAGCCCAAGGTTGTCCACACGGCAGGGCTGACCCAGAGCCACAGCACGTGGAAGTCCAGGAACCATCGCCAGGCTAGCTAACTGGAAGCCATGAACACTGCTTCTGGTTCATCAAAAGCTTATCTTCCCCAACAGACTTCTGCGAAACACTGTGGTTTCAACACCCCAATGTTCCCCGACAAGAACAGAAAATTCACTGAGACTTAGTAGTACCTACTAGCTGGCAAGACTCTCTTCTTACCCCAGTTGGTTGGCTCTGTGATCCCAGTTGGTTGATCTCCCCAATGAATGGGAGGAATGGAAAGTGTGTTTTTGGGTCTGGGAGTCGCGAGTGCTGTTAACAACGTGCTATTTTTGTGGGTGGTGACGGAGATATGCGAAGTGGATGCTGGTCTCTGAATTGTGGTCACCTCTTTCTTCTGGTCACCGCAGATAACATCCTCTTTATCTGACCCCCCCCGCAGAATCGTCCTACCAGACGCTGTGCAGCTGCAAAAAATGTCATGCATAAACAATAGTGTGCAATTACCTAAATGGCACAATAATTAATTTAAAGATGACCTCCATGGGGGGCGGGAAGGGGGCTTATGCTCTCTTTTGCTTTTATGTTGTCTAAAAAAGGCCTGTTATTTTTGCAGGATGGGAGGGTGGGGAGGGGGGGTTATGGTTTTATTTCAAAAATGATTTTCTTTCTAGCTTGCTTCACCATTCGCAATTCAGTTTTTGTTCATCCTGGAAGACTCTATGAATTCCTGAAGAACGCATAGGTCGATGACAGTACAATGGTCAATGGTACACGCTTGTTTAATTGAAAGAGGAAGAGATTGTTTCTATTGACACCTGCGCTACCAGAAGTCTTTTAAGAAAAATAAAATTAACCCCCCCCCTGCACTGAGCTACCAGGAAAGACTGGGCTCCTTCAGTCTGAAGAAAAGATGACTGAGGAGAGACATAAAAACAGTCTTTGAATAGGTAAGAGTTTGCTGAAAAAGGGAAGCGTATGAATAGTTCTCCGTGTCTGCTGGGGAGAAGACAAGTTAGAGTTGCATTAAGACTGCAGAACGGGAGATCTAGGGTAGTCATTAAGACAAACTTTTCAACTATAAGCACAGTTAAGCCCCAGGGTAGATGTCCTAGAGAGAGCGGGGACTCTTCACTGTTGGATCTTTAAGACAAAAATCTGTCAGGAATAGCGCAGGCACAGGTGACCCTTCCCTGGGGTAGGTGGATGGAATAGATGACCTCAAAAAGGTCTTTTCCAGCCCTCTTTCCTATGATGCCTACTTCTATGACTATGCTTGTGAAACTAAACTGATTCTTTATTAAAAGAAAATCCCATAGGGATGCTGCGGTTGCAGCTAGCAGTCTACCCACGCACCGGCAGACTGATTTCCTGGGGCCTCCTTTAGACTCCCTCCTACAACCTGCGCTTCTCCAAATTTCACATGGGTTGTTGCGCTGCTGAATGGCTCTGCTGTGTGGGTGGTGGGACTGTTTCCAGTTACAAGAAATTTCCATGTGGCAGGTTCTCTTACTGAGAGCCAGCGTATAAAAGGCAAATTGCAACGCGCCAACCAATCCTCCGAGCTGAAGCACAGCCAATTTGCAGGGATCTAAAGCCACCATGAATACCGTTTCCTGGCCCACCTGCTAGGGAACGATATACAAGCAACAGGCTGACAATAATCAACAAAAGGCAATGCTTCATGTGTTTGGCTGTGTGATACGTACTTGGTCCAGGGGTGACATTTGCTATTTTCTCCTTTGGAAAAAGACCCAGCAGAACAAGCTGAGCATGCTGAAAGAGAGACAAGAATACATTAAACCCAAGGTAGAACTGGAACAGATGAGAACAGCTGGGCCAAAAAGATTATGCAATGACTACAAAGAGGTCTCACATCTGCATATTCATTTCTGTTGTGGAGTGGCATGTCATACACACTACAGCATGGAAATGGCAATGTACATTTGGGTCATTACAAAAGGAAAGTGTGCTTTTAACAAGTATAGCACTTCCCCCC